CTTATTTCTGTTTCAACAGAAAAGGAAAGTGATATTCTGTGACTCTCTGGTAATTAAATTAGTTCTTGTTCATCAGTGACAAGGAAGTTTGCTTTTTGAGGAAAAACAAAATCGTTTCTCTTCCATTTTTCGTGCGTTTGGGAGGAAAAAAAGGGTTTCGTGTTACATACCTTTGCGAGGAAAACAAAAGTATCAAGTTACAAAGTTACAAAGTTGGCGCGAAGAGCAAAATTGTCACGTTTGTTCAATTTAAACTGAACGAAAATCATCGTAAAACACCAGAGTCAAATTTAAAAGTTGCGGTGGCAAACAGTAATTTACGTAATTTTTGGAACCTGAATAAAAATACAACCTTGAAACATACACACTGCTAAGGGGAAAAGCCGTAGCAGACTACCAAGGTAGATACAAACCGGAAGTGAACCGAGCAGGGGTGAGTACTTATGGGACTACTGTCCCAGAGCTATCAATTGCACTCTGCACTATCTGAGATTGTCTCACTAGTTCTGTTCACATTACATCTCAAATCATGGTCGATTGCATCAGAGTTTGTGAGATAAATTTAGGCAGACCCACCAATTTGGATACATTACATGCAAAAAATTTCCGACGACTTTAATTTTTGACAAAAGAAGTGTTCGAAAATAAAAATGTCGTCCGAAATTTTTAAGCGTTCGAAATATTTACAGTGTACGGACAGAAAAAAAAAAGCTTTGACGTAGCCCCAAAGCTCTTACTTTCCTTTATGCTGGGCTTTATGGAGCGAACTGTAGTTGAGACACTTCTTGGCGTACGTAACGTCTTGATAGAATTTGTACTATTTTCTCGTCGGTGTATTCGTAAAACCTCGAGGGTGCAGTAAAACAATCACGTTATGGTGTTGTTTAAGTCTAATTCGTGTTTTGTAGCCGTAAATTTACCTAAGCTATATTTCAGCAAAGTGTCCGAAAGTTGTCTGAAATCAGATAAAAGTGAGCGAAATTAAAACCTCGGAAACGTCTGAATTTTTTGGCATGTAATGTTATACAAGTTCGACACGTATACCTTCAAGTGCGGTTAATTTTATTGTAAACACCTGTCATCCGTCCCACTTGTACAAGCCGGGAGAGCGAGGNCCCCCCACCTCCCCCCAGTTATGGAAATTATGTGAATCAGTTTCGGGCAAAACGCTCATGATTCCGGCAACGACACTTGAGAAAAAACATTACAAAATAATGCTGTTGGCGTGATTTCCAAACTCGTAAATAAAGTTTCTAGTTAGTTAATTATTTCAGAACTTTTTCTTTTAATACGGTTTAAATTTTACTGGATTGAGACTGTTGATAGAAGTCATCGAGTATAACTATTTTTGGAATTAGAGCAGTTTCACTAGCTAGATGTAAGAATTCTGAACGTTTTTGTTTTCAAGTAATTTTAGTGCGTTTGCATCCCGATTTGAACACTTACGCATTCGGGCATTGCGTTAATTTTCCGGGTAAGAAGGTCACC